GCAATTATTATTAATAATAAGAAAAATTTTTTATAAATTTATTTTTTTATCGCTCTATTATATTGTATTTATAATTATATTATCAAAATAAAACTATTATTTTTTATCATGGCTAATATATTGTGTTGAAAAATATAAGGCATTTATTTATATTAAATTATATTTAAAAAAAAATTTATCATAAAATTTTGAACGCATGAACGCGTTCATTAACTTGAACGCGTTCCTTTTTTTGAATGTGAACGTGAACGCGTTCGATTTTTGTCAATGAACGTTGAACGCGAACGCGTTCGATTTTTTTAAAAATGTTTACAGCACTAGTTTTTTCCATACTTTTTAAGAAAATATTTTAAGAAACATTTTGCGTTACCGTTACTTAAAAAAAAGAAACGCGTTTCACGTTATTCGTTACCTCTTACCGCCAAAATTTTAGCTCGAAATGTATTATCGCGAATGCATTACCGCGAAATAATATTATAGTGAATGCATTGCCGCGAAGCATTATAGCAAATATAATACAGAGCAAAAATATAGCGAATGCATTAGCGCGAATGTATTATAGCGAATACATTACAGCGAATGAATTATCGTAAATGTATTACGGCTAAAGCATTATCGCAAATGCATTGCAGCAAAAGCTTTACCGCGAATGCATTACGCGAAAATATTAAAGGGAATTTATTATAGCGAATGAATTATTGCGAATGCATTATAGCGAATACATTAGCGCAAATGTATTAGCGCGAATGTATTATCGCTAATACATTATCTTAAATGAATTACATCAGTTGCAATATCGGGAATTGAGCTTGATGAAAATTATAATTTTATATTTATCGGCCTTTAGACAGACTTAGTTGAACCTGGAAATTAAGTTAAAGTTGGGCTTGGGCCTAAAAACATTTTTATTTGAAAATAGAGCCAAGGCTTTTGATTTTTTTGACTCAAAATATATAAAAAAGATTCTAAGCAATAAAATAGATTTCTCTAGGAATAGGGTAAAGGAATTAAATTTTTATATTAATTGATTGATAAATAGGCGTTAATTATATTTTTCAATTGAATTTGGGACAGGATAGGCTCAGCCCTAAAATTTAAAATAATAGCTAGGCTTGGCCCTAAAAGTAAATAAAAATTTTGAATAGAGCTTTCGCTGAAATAAACTAAATTTGCATGCGTTATTTTGAATAATTTTGGCTGTATTCTATAAATTGTTTTATAAGGAATTTATGACCAGTAAATTAATACTAAATGCTTATGATTTCAATGGATTAAAATATAATTTAAATTTATTTTTAAAAATCATCTCGGGTTTTGTAAAAAAAAAATATATGCCTGGTGTACTATTTGAAACAGTTGGAGCTGTTCTTCTACTAAGGGCAATTATTTAATAACACGTGCAACCGTTATAAAATGAATGCTGCCGTAATTTCTTGAATTCAAAACCATTGGTGATCCCTTATTTGTTTTGAAAATCGATGTTTTAAAATAATTGTGATAAAATTGATTTTGATTGTTAATATTTATTTCTCACTCAAAAACACTGACGGCCATTTTCTATAAAAATTAATGTTTGAAAATAACTTGGATTACTATGACTGCGATTAATATATGATTGCTAATAAATTAAGTTCTCGCTTAAAAAATATTGGCGATCATTTTTAAATAAAAATTGATGTCTGGGAATTAAAATGACTGCGATTAATGCCAGGAAATTTCAGAAGCAAGAAATCCTATCCCTCCTTCTACTGGGCGTTATTTTTAAAATATAATTTAAATAATAAATATAATAAATCCTTAATATCAAAGTAAAATAATATAGTAAAGTTGTTATAGCGATTAGCATCCGCTATAGATCAACATAATGGTAACACGTCTAGCCCATTTTTAAATAAATAAAAATAAATGAGGGTCTTAAGTTATTTTTTGTCAAATATTAGTATTTCAAATTTTATAACGGATTAACCTAATTTTTAAATATCAAGTAACCTGTTATAGAGTTATAAAAATATAAAAACGCTACGTTAAATAAATATGGAAACATCAATTAGGATGGTTCTTTGGTTTTTTGGAAAGGTCTGAGCTTGCTAAATGAGTTACAATATAATTAGAGAGTAAAGAATTTCCTTAGAGAAAAAGAAATTCGGTCAAAAATATTATCGACCAGGAACTTCCAAAAGGTAACGAATTTATGGTTGCCAATATATTAAAAAAATAAAAACATATTAATGATGAACTCCTTATTATAAAGTAAGTCGATAAGTAGCAAAGAATTTCAATACTTGATGCATTCGCAATAATGCATTCGCGATATTGTATTCTCGACAATACATTCGCTGTAATGCATTCACGATAATGTTTTCGCGGGAATGCACTCGCGATACTGGTCTCGCTATGATGCATTCGCGATAATATCTTTTCGCCGTAATTAGTGTTGTTAAACGGCTCGATTTGAGCCGATTTTTAAAAACGGCTAACTCAACATTATAGCCAGGAAAATATTGCCTAAGCTTCGAGATTTCACCAATAGATGTTCAATCCTATATGCTCTTTATGAGCAAAATCTTTAGACTTGCATAATATTTTTCTGGATAAAATATTGAGTTAGCCGTTTTTAAAAATCGGCTCAAATTGAGCCGTTTAACAACACTAGCCGTAATGCATTCGCTATAAAACATTTCGCGGTATTGACGTGATCATTTTTTATAATAACTTTTGAATGCAGCACTAAATTTATATACAAAAAAGAAGCAAATCCAAAATTAAATAATATAGAGTAAAATGAGAAGAATAAGGAAGGAAAAGTCTAGTGAAGATCTGTGGAGAATAATTCATCCTCTCATCAATTTATATTAGCAATTATTTTATTAATTTTTATATTATTTTGCAATAAAATATGTAGGGAAAAAAACAATTTTAATATAATGTGATTTCAATTAAATAAAAAGTTTAGTTATGATGGCAGTAGAGAGGGTTTAATTATTTTTATACTCATTAACATGATTGTTAATATAAAATGTTCTAAGATTTTTAATATTCTTAGATCAAAAAAATGATATTTTTTTCCCAACTCTGATTATAATCGTCAGTAAATACCAATAAATAAATATTATATATATATATATATTATATTTTGGAAGGAAATGCATTATTATCTTAAATATATCTTTACAAAATTGAATGTTAAATGCCGCTTGATGTGACTGTCCGACTTTAAAAATATAAAAATCAAGGCTGAGCCGATTTTTAATTCTTTTCTTCAAAATGATATCAATTAATTAATGATAAAATTATATAATGGAGCGTTTAATATTAATATATAGCGCATATTTTTGATTTTACCTTACGATTTACAAAATTATTCAAAATAACCGAATTTTAAAAATTCCATGCTGTAAAATAATCAAAAATTAAAATTCGGGCTAAAAAACTCCTGGACCCCGGAGCCAGTGGGAATTACTTTTTTTCAAATTTGGGTTGGGCTTAAAATCTCAACCACTGAAGACCTCTGATAAATAATGTTAATTATTCATAGCAATTTTAAATATGAAAAACACTAGTTTACATCTGACCTCTTTTTTCAGACCCGATCCAAGTAAAGATTTAAAAATTTATATGGCCAATCTGATCCGAGGATTTTTTTCAAAGACCGGACCATCCGATTTTTTTATTGGAGTGTTAAAAGGTATGATTAATCAACAAAATTGAGAAATTTATATTCTTTTAACGAAAACAAAACACTTCTGTGGTTATTCTTTATAAAATTAAGGTACTCCTGTTTATATGTATAGACATTTTTAGACACACTAAACTCTACCGAGACAATTGACGGCATAGTAGTTATATTTAATTAATAAAACAACTTTATATTGAGATAACCATAAATATTAAAATCCTGGCACTCATCTTTATAAAAAATAATTCAAAATTTAATGAGTGACAAAACTTATATCATCTAAAAGGTGCCCGAAAATAAAAGATGCCCGAAAAATATAATATTAAATTATTTTATTTATTTTCTGAGATTGTCTAGAAATATTGATCTAAAAATTATGATATATATTTTTAAATTAATATAAATAAAATAAATTATTATAAAAAATTTACCATGTTGTCCTCATCCATTACATAAATTAAAATTTGTCTGGTTTGTTTTAATTATGAAATAAACTCAGACATATTAAATAAATTTAATTCAAATATTATTATCATATAAAATTATATAAAAATTTATCTATAATAATTTTTATAAAAGTGTATCTAGATTCAGATACCACAATAGCTAAAATAAAGTTTCCTTATGCTGCACCGTCACAAATATAAAAATCGACGGATCGCAGATCCCCAATATTTTTAAATCGGGTGCAGGGATTGCCAAATTGAAATTCTATCTTCAAATTTGCAATAATATAATATAAACAAATTGCCCTTACACTCCCTCCGCCAGTCCCTCTCCTCCAAAAATGAATAAATAATTCGCAGAGTTCGGGCCTTATACTAAAAAAGATTCCAGTTGCAAATATTTTCAATAGGTATAACTGATTTCTAAATCCTATTAGAAGCCTGCAATGGGTGGTTTGTAACCCGAACGACCGCGTGTACATTTTTTTTAAAATAGTTTTAACCCCTACCCAATGCTCGACTGCCTAAACCTCTAAATTCTATCTGAAAAGTTTTTTAAAAAAGTTTGACCTTCGAAAAGCTTCGCTAATAAATAAATTAAAAAATATATATTTTGACTAAATATATATTTAAAAAAACGCTTGATAAAAGAAAAATATCTAAACGATTTTAATATTTAATATTAGGAATTTTTTTATAACATTTATGAGAGTATGACTAAAATTTCTTTTATTTCACAATTTTTAAATTCTGTACAATTAAAGGAGTAAAAATAATCCTGAGCATTTCCATTTTTATCTTGAACGAAATTATAGTATAAATCTTAAAGTAAATTCTTAATTTATTTTATATGTTTTTATTCCTCTTAAAAAAATAAGCAAGGAAGATGTTGAAAAGTACAAGGAAAAGGACATGCTGGAAGAATTTTTGGAGTCCATGGCAGGTGAGTACCCAGAATTAAGATTAGTTTTCGTTGATGAAAGAGATACTTTTCTAGCTCATTCTCTTAAACAGGCAGCCTCCCCTATCATGATACACAATCCCGAGGCCCCCGATGAATTGAGTTCTAATAATATACACAAAATTTATAAAATATCAACATTTTTTTAAAAAATTAAATTTGAGACAAAATTTATTTGTTTTTACCCCTGTGCGGTAAAGTGGAAAGTAATAACGCGACTAGTTAGGTGGGGCATGACTCACTCCCCCCATCTCCATTTTAAAACTATTATATCTCATTCTCACTTTAATGATTAGGCTTTGATATTTTCGACATTAATCATTTAACCTTGAATTAATTATAATTTAATGACCTATAATAATACCTAGACTGAAGATGCATTCATAATAATGCATTTGAAAGTGTCGTTGAATGCAAATCAGCTGGACCCGCCATTTTGGTAACCCATATAATAATTATTCTCATGTTAAAGGCTACTATTAAATTGATAACTTGTTCCTTATTATCTCGATGATCAGGCAATTCTTTAGTAAAGCTTGCGTCAGGCATAGGAATAAATTGGTCTCTCGTTTAAAATTTTTAATAATGATATGGGTAATCAAAATAGCGTTTTCATTGATTTTTCACTTTTAATGAATGTATCGTCAGTCTAGGTATTATTATATGTCATTGTTATAACTATGAAAATTTTGAAGTTATTTTCATTAAATAAAAATATACAAATTTTATTATATTTTAAGAATATCGAATATGTAAAATTACCTTAAATATTGTTTGACAATAAAAATCTATTTAACTTGCAAATGCAATTAATATTTAAATTGTTAATATAAACTTGTTTTCAAGTTATAATATATATTTTTTTAAATTATAAGAGTAAAAATATGCATTTTTGCCTACAAAAAATGTTTATATTTTATTAATTATCCAATAAAAATGTAGGAAATTTACAAAAACATAGTTAATCATAAAATAGGAGACAACTGAACAAAATATTCACAGGTTTTATTTATGATAAAAAATTAAAAATCTCTGGAGTGTTGTTATGCCCCCCACACCACTCAGTAGTTGAATGCTGGTTTTTATAGAGGAGAATTTTTTTTATTTTTTTATAATATATATATATATATACATTATTAAAAAAGTGCTGATACCCAAAGTAGTTGTAGGTGTAGTAGGTATGGGTCATACGATTGGAATCGAAAAAAGATGGGGAGAGAATATTGATATAGAACCTCTTTTAAGGTAATAAATTTATTATTTATGGCTTTAAAAATAAACGATATTTTGTTACACAAGTTTAATTTGTAAGTTAGAAGTTATATAAAATTTTCGACTAAATAACATCGTATCCTACAAAACAAAATTCCAAAATAATATCTAAGCAATATTTCGATATTGAATTATAAATAGTGCTGAAGACTCTTTTTTTAAATAGTAACGCTTTGCAGTTACTTTATTTGAAAGTGTTACAACTTTACAAAAAAAAAATTACTTTTTTAAAAAAAAACTCAAATAATATAGATTACCAGCTGAATCATCTTCCAAACGGATAATAAAAAAAGTGGCTTTCACTTCTTGCATAATCATCTTATCCTATGGGGGTTATCGACTTGTCAAGAACACCTTTTTCTAAAAATAAAATTATTATAACACATATCTTATCACAAATATACATGGGAAATTCTATTGATATATTATTTGAATTATTAATATTTAAGTTACTATTTATTTAAATATAAATATCTTATATAAAATGTATATTCTTAATGTAAGAACAATGTCTATGATCAATATATAAAATATTCATTAAAAAAATCTAAGTATCACCATCAATTAAATAAATGCTTTACGTAGAGGTGACCAATATAACTTTTTCTCTGAGATATAGCCGATATCAAGTTGTTATTAACTGCTGATCAGTATCTAATTTATCAAAAATCTATCTGGAATAAAAACTTAAAAATATCCCTTAAAGATCCTGGTTTAAAATTGCTATAATTTAAAATTTTTGCAAGAAACATGGTGTTAATATTTTTTATTTATTTGTTTATAGAATGATCAAAAACTCGATTATGTTCATTGTAAAAATGTAACCTATATTAAAAAAAAAAATTTCTATATTTAAATAAATTCGGGGCAGGTGGATTAATAATTTTTATTTTAGGTCGGCTTATAAAAATATTTGGTTTTAAATTGGGCTGGGACAGACAAATTTTTTTAAAAAAATTCGGGCTGGGTTGGGTTTGAAAAATTAGGCCTGATGCTGATCACTAATTTAAATTCAGCATTTTATGTATTATATGAAAAATATCGCCATATTATTTAAAATTTTATATCATATTGAAAGCTTTATTTAAATTGTTTTATTGAATAGTTATCATAATATACAAAATTATATAATAGTTTGATTTAAATTTATCAACCCAAGTGATAGATATATATCGCCCACACTATTTGCCTTTAACTACCAATCACTTAAATGTTCCCATAATTAAATCTAGTATATCCCCCCCCCCCCTCCTTAGGTGATGTGATGCACAATATGTTAATCAGAGTTAAGTTAGAAGTCAAATCTAGGAACTCGGTTCTATCAAACGTACAACCATTAATATAGAGGGTTTATTTAGTGCATCTTTGAAACAAACATTTTAAAATAAGTAACAAATATTTATTTTTTGAATCTTTTGTCATTATGCCATAAAAACTTAGAGAATTAACATTAATAAATTGGCTAAAATCGGAAAACAAATATGACCAGTTTTTTGTAAAATTATGATATTTTATTATATATTATTCAGAAACCTGGAGAGGTACCAATTTAAATGCGAAAAATATGAGTGACTCGTGGATATGAATTTTCTAATTCTCTATATTGGTTATGCCTATTATTCCCAAAGGAAAAATGTGTTTGGAATGATAAAGGATTTTCAAATATAAATAATTCTTCGAAGGTAGTTATATGACACTAAGAATCAGACGTATATTTGCAATCAATCATTCAAGAACATTTGGCAAAAGTCGAATTGAAAATATAGATTCGATGGGCAAGATATAAATCGAAAATTTATTCAAAAAGAAAGAAGAATTTCTTTTATTTATAAACTTTAATTTTTTGCATGGTTTAATTAAAAAAAAATAAAAAATGTTTTTCAATTGCTTCTTGTAAACTTGACGCATCGTCACTGCAGTAAAATATATATGGAATGATGTGATTGGTATTAGAGTTGGGCGCGTGCCGTGAAATTACGCTTATCAGGGTGAGTGTGAATAAATTTTAAATTATTAGGCGTGATAGTCCTTCCCAAAATTTTTGCCGGGCGTGATTGTGCGTAAACATAAATTTTGCGTGCATAGGCGTAGCCAGGGGGGGGCAAGGTGAAATTCCCTCCCCCCTTTAGAAATTTATCACTTTTTGTAAATATCATTTTTAGCTAATAAAAAATATCCCCCTTACTCGTCCCCCCACTCCCTTACCCTTATGTATGCATATATCTTAAATAATAATTTGAAAGAAAGAATGTAAAAGTTGATATTTTTTTATAAAACTATTCATCATAATTTATAGATTTTTGGGAAAATAAATTTATAAATATATAAAATGAACCAAAAATGTTTTTTAATAAATGGAATATAAGCCAAAGATAAGTCTTAAGACAGAAGTGAAATGTATTATAATTATTAATAAAAGATCCATAAAATTACTAAATAATATGATATATCAAATATAATTTTTTATAAAGTGAGTAATTTTAATTTTTATCTTAATAAAAGTAAAATATAATTATAAAACTATTGATAAAATTAAATCATAAATTAAAAAAATATTAAGGCACAATACAAACAGTGGAATATTATATGTCGAGTATACCTAATTATCAAATGACAATCAAGTAATTTTTACCAATATAGCGAATTATATATTTTACAGAAAACTATAAAATATTGATAAGGACATCAGAAAATATCTTAAGACATTGTGGGATGAATAATATGAAGATTAAATTTTAATATCATTTTTACTAGAAATAAATAGATGGCGTTAAATAATTCAATTCAAATTGTTGCTATATTTAATATCAAGAGCATTGATTAGTAAAATTTGTTAAATTATTAACTGTCATATATTCTCTAACTGTCAAATATGACTGTAAAAGTGGAATTTTACCTAGTATTTTATAACTAATTCTATATAATAGAGTAAAATCAACTATATGTCTACTTACTTTTTATAAATAAATTTCTTCTAATTGGTTAAAATAAATTATTACCATGCTCTTATATTAAGGCATATACAATACAAGTAATATTATATTTAATTTTATAATTATGATATATTTCTAATTTAATTATTTTAAAAAAAATAATAAATAATATTCGAAAATAAAAAACTTAAACATTTTTTTCCCTTCTTGTAAAATTTCAATTGAATGAAAAATAATAAATCTCAACTCTCGTTCAGCAATGGAAATTTGTTAATAAATAAATTTAATTTAAGTATATTTTATTTTCATTTATCTTTACTAAAATTTTATCAATATTTAAAGAATGCTCTGATAATCTGAGCGCGGATTCTCATCCCACAATAAATGAAGTTTATATATGGAAAAGGTCAACCTTCTGAAGGTGATACAATAATAATCAAAACGCTATAAAACAGTACAATATTTCTTTTAAAGGAAAGATTTATTAAGCATCCACTACATAAGGTAGGCATTCTAGAATATAATTTCAAAAGTCTTAAGTTTTTAATAGACGAAAAAAAGGAAGATATATTTAGAACTATCTTAAATTGCGAAATAATAACAAATTAGATGATATGCATAAGTAAATGCCAACTAAGATTTATAACTTTTCTAATTCATCCTTGATAAAAAAACCGTATATTCTAATTTAAACATTTAGAAATTTCTAAATGATTTTTATGAAGCATCAACATCCTATGAAAGTTATGAGCATGAACTTAAAAACAAATAACAATGACAATATTTTGAAATTTTGGGAGCAGAAAAATTCATTTCCTTTGAGAAAATTAGCTAGTAAAATTTTGTCAGCCCCAGCAAGTTCGTTATTGAAAGGTTATTTTCTATAATCAATCGCATATTAGGGGAAAGACCAACACAATTGAAATGAACATTCTTCTTTTTCTCAATAAAAATTTTGGTTTATAAATTGTAATTATTTTTTGTTATTAATAAAATTAGAGAAATAAAAATATGATAGAATAAATTCAAAAAAGCTTAAAAGTATAGCAATAAAGTTTTGAAGAATTTAAAAACACCGGGAATTTTCTGGCGTGATCAAAATATTGTTTTTAACGGGCGGGGCAATATTTTTTAGAAATAAGCATAGGGCATGAATTTTTTTTATTGCCACTGTGAATGGGCGGGCCGTGAATAAAAAATTAGTCCCGCGCCCATCTCTTGTTGGTATATTTAAGTTATTTATAATATTTTATAAAATTTGATAGTCTATAAAAAAATTTCCTGTAATATTAGTTGAACTCTTATAATTGTCTAAATAGTAACTATTTCTTTCATAGTTTATGTAATTTTTGACTAAAAATAAAAATTATAAAATACATTTTCACCTTTTTTATTTTTTATTTGTGGAGTCACATTTTTTAGAACCCACTATATTAATTTCTACTGACTGAAGATGTTTATTAGTGAATCAATTGTTAATATTTCATATACAACGGACAATGTAATATAATTTATATTTATATATAGAAAAAAAGACCAGTGTCTTGGATTGATTCATGAGTGGAAACTTCCGAGTTAAGAGTTCTATTAGGAGAGTAAAATAATACTTCACCAATAATCTCAAATTCTCATAAATAATGCGAGATGTTGCCAAATGCCATTCCTTGTCGGCTCTTAAGAGTATGGCCTGCATATATACAGGATCCGTTAAAACGACTAAAGAAATTTATAATTCGTTAAATTGAAAAAAAGTTACAGAAATATTGTTATACCAATTAACAACAAGAAGCAACTTGTGATTGAAGCAAAATATATAAGGCATTTTTATTAATTTTTTTGGATCAAAATTTATACTTCTCCATTTTAACCAGACAACGTCTAGATGAGGGAAGGGGGGGGGTATTATGCATTCAATATTTTTGAAGGGGTATGGGGTAGGCAATTAAGGGTGGTAGGCTAGGGATAGGATATGGGGGGGGGTTATCTATTAAACTTTTAGATGAAATATGCAAATGTATTGCTGTGAAAATTAATACCTTGACCTATTGTAATATAATGATATTGCTAAACATCGACCAAATATATATATTGTACACAAATATAGACATTAATTTCCAAACAAATAGTGTATTGAGCATTTTTTAGTATTGATTTTTTTAATTTTTCATCTTTTTGGCAGGTTTATGAAATCATTGCTATAAAAAATCATGAAAAATAAATTATATTTTTACCATCTGCAGCATCAGCCACGAAATGGGAGCTTTTGTATAACCGACTAAGCTCAATTTGATGGTTTATGGAAATTGATGATATTTCTGTATCCTTCTTTATAACGATTTATAGCCATATTGAATTTAAATATCTAGAAGTTTCATGTTTTAACAGCCATATTTTTCTAAGAATTTTGTTGTTTTCTTCAGTTAGATTTATTGGTTAATGGCTTATGAAAATTTAATAACTAATATATTTAAATTTGAGAGCCAAAAATATTTTAGAGGCCATTTATAGGGGCCAAAAATCTCCTCTGTGGATA